ACAGGAAAAAGCTTGCTTATACTGAATCAGTTGAATCAATAAGGCTAAATGCCAATTTCGGGGCGTATTAGGAATTCATGAAGCGGATTGCCCCGAAGATGCGCCAGTGGCACAGGGATGCGTACCGTGACTCTATATTTGAGCACTATATTTTATTTGGGCCTCCTGCGCCTGATCGCCCCTTACTGGAACTGCTGCTGAGCTATTATGATGAAGCCAATGGCAAATTTTCTATCCCTGATTCAAAGACTAGTGGGGTGAAAAGAGTTAAATTTGATATACAATGGGTCCACAACCATACATATTTCCCAGTTAATGGAGAAGTCCCAAGTATCAATCGGGACTCAAAAAACAGAATCTGGGTGCAATACTTCGCTCCTCTTTTCAAGACTGAAGAGGGGAAGAAGTTAAAAAAAGCAACAATCACCCATCGCAGATACCTCGAAGGGCAACTGGAGAGGCTTGTGGAATCTACAGAACAGCAGAATATTCAAGACTTTGTTCTGCTGCAAATTCTGTACCAATGCTCTATGATATGGTGCCCCAGATGCGGGGAGGGTATCCCTAGACCTATACTCAGGTACCTGGATAGCATTGAGAGGGTCAATGGAGTTGCATGGGCCCAATTAATTTATTCAGAAATTATCAGGGGCATTGGGGTTGCTTTGAAGGGCAAGAAGAAGCCAGGGGTGACATATGTCCCAGGTTGCATGACACTATTGTGTGTAAGTTCCATGTTTTACTCACTCAGCAAGTATTTTTGTTCTGATTTATGTCATGTGAGTTCTAATGTATGGTCATGTTAGTTCTAGTTTTTTCCATGTTAGTTCTAACTTATTTCATGTTAGTTCTAATTTGGGTCATGTTGGTTCTATCTGTGGACATAAGTTAGAACTAACAGAGATCATGTTAGTTCCAATTTATGCCATGTGAGTTCTAACTTTTAGCATGTTAGTTCTAGCTGCACCCATGTTTTATTTTAAATCGCTAATCATTTTAGTTCTAATTCATGCCTTGCGCGTTCTAATTTGAGTGCTTAATGTATTTGTTACAGCTTTGGTACTACGAGATGACCGGCATAAAGAAATATGCCTACGTCGACTACTCCAAACCTCCAATGACATGTTGGGCTTCAGCGGATGTGAAAGTCTCATCTCTGAGGGTGAGGACAATAACATCAAAGGCTAAGGCAGCTTCAATAGCTTTTGTCCATAGGCCTATTGTGGAAGTAGGGCCTGCTCCTTCAAATATACGTGCACTTCCCGCGGTACCGAGGGGCGAAGGAGTGCATCATAAGCCTAAGGCAAAGAGGAAGGCGAATGAGGAGGAAACGAGGAAGAACTTATCAATAGGCTATGTAAGTACAATGTTAAGTCTAACTTATTTCACGTTAAATGTAAACAACATCCATGTTAGTTCTAATCCTATTTTATAATATAATCTCCAAACCATCTCAGATCATTGCAAAGCATATTGACGATTCCATTGATGATGAAGAGGTGGAGAATCTACCCATTGAGCAGCAGCTTGCTTTTTGGAGAAATTCTGCTAAATGTCTCAAACGAATACTATCTGCCACAAAGCAGAGCAAGAGTACATATTGTAAAGAATTTATGATTGAGATCAACAGGCTAAACACAATAGTTCAAAAGCTTGGAAGCCATGATGAGATTATAGACCCGGTGGTGCTAAAGGCAAATATCAAACAGAAAATTGTGGATAGGAGGAAGTTGAAGACACGGGTAACTGAGGAGGAACAGCATGGCAAATCAAGCAGAGCACATAAGGAAGGCGCCACCATGCAAGAAGCTGTACATAAGAATGTTGAAGAGGTTGCTGAGGAGCCTGTTGATGATTTTGTTGTACATGGGTGCGATGTTGATTTGGGGGTCACCACAATGGAAGGCAAAGTTGTGGATGAAGCCCCCGAGAATAAAGATGAGGAGAGTGTAGATAGAGAAGATATTATTGTAGATAATAAGATTGAGGAGGATGTAGATAAGGTGGATGAAAATGTAGATAGGGAAGTGGAGAATGCAGATAGGGTAAAGGAGCATGTTGATAACGAAGAGGGGATTGTACATAAAAAGGAGGAGATTGTAGCGGCGTTAGTTCGAGCCCAAGTGTTTGTTGTGGTGGCCATGTTAGCCCTATATCACTTATTGATAGTTCTAGCTGTCATCCTGTTAGTTCTAGTTCATCTAAAGTTAGTTCTAATTCGTGCTGGCGTTACTTCCGTCACAAGTGTTTGTTCTGGTTGCCATGTTATCCCTAGCTCACTCCTAGTCAGTTCTAGCTCACTTCTTGTTAGTTCTAGCCGTCCTCCTGTTAGTTCTAGCCCTTCTCGGGTTAGTTCTACTTCGTGCTGGCGTTAGTTCGAGCCCAAGTGTTTGTTGTGGTGGCCATGTTAGCCCTATATCACTTATTGATAGTTCTAGCTGTCATCCTGTTAGTTCTAGTTCATCTAAAGTTAGTTCTAATTCGTGCTGGCGTTACTTCCGTCACAAGTGTTTGTTCTGGTTGCCATGTTATCCCTAGCTCACTCCTAGTCAGTTCTAGCTCACTTCTTGTTAGTTCTAGCCGTCCTCCTGTTAGTTCTAGCCCTTCTCGGGTTAGTTCTACTTCGTGCTGGCGTTAGTTCGAGCCCAAGTGTTTGTTGTGGTGGCCATGTTAGCCCTATATCACTTATTGATAGTTCTAGCTGTCATCCTGTTAGTTCTAGTTCATCTAAAGTTAGTTCTAATTCGTGCTGGCGTTACTTCCGTCACAAGTGTTTGTTCTGGTTGCCATGTTATCCCTAGCTCACTCCTAGTCAGTTCTAGCTCACTTCTTGTTAGTTCTAGCCGTCCTCCTGTTAGTTCTAGCCCTTCTCGGGTTAGTTCTACTTCGTGCTGGCGTTAGTTCGAGCCCAAGTGTTTGTTGTGGTGGCCATGTTAGCCCTATATCACTTATTGATAGTTCTAGCTGTCATCCTGTTAGTTCTAGTTCATCTAAAGTTAGTTCTAATTCGTGCTGGCGTTACTTCCGTCACAAGTGTTTGTTCTGGTTGCCATGTTATCCCTAGCTCACTCCTAGTCAGTTCTAGCTCACTTCTTGTTAGTTCTAGCCGTCCTCCTGTTAGTTCTAGCCCTTCTCGGGTTAGTTCTACTTCGTGCTGGCGTTAGTTCGAGCCCAAGTGTTTGTTGTGGTGGCCATGTTAGCCCTATATCACTTATTGATAGTTCTAGCTGTCATCCTGTTAGTTCTAGTTCATCTAAAGTTAGTTCTAATTCGTGCTGGCGTTACTTCCGTCACAAGTGTTTGTTCTGGTTGCCATGTTATCCCTAGCTCACTCCTAGTCAGTTCTAGCTCACTTCTTGTTAGTTCTAGCCGTCCTCCTGTTAGTTCTAGCCCTTCTCGGGTTAGTTCTACTTCGTGCTGGCGTTAGTTCGAGCCCAAGTGTTTGTTGTGGTGGCCATGTTAGCCCTATATCACTTATTGATAGTTCTAGCTGTCATCCTGTTAGTTCTAGTTCATCTAAAGTTAGTTCTAATTCGTGCTGGCGTTACTTCCGTCACAAGTGTTTGTTCTGGTTGCCATGTTATCCCTAGCTCACTCCTAGTCAGTTCTAGCTCAC